AAATGGTGTTGGGAAAACTGGCTAGCCATGTGCAGAAAACAGAAACTGGACCCCTTCCTTACACCTTACACAAAAATTAACTCAAGATGGTTTAAAGTCTTAAATGTAAAACCCAAAACCATAAAAACCCTAGAGGAAAACCAAGTCAATACCACTCAGGACATAGGCATGGGCAAAGACTTCATGACTAAAACACCAAAAGCAATTGCAACAAAAGCCAGAATTGACAAATGGGATCTAATCAAACTAAAGAGCTTCTGCACAGCAAAAGAAACTATCATCAGAGTGAACAGGCAACCTACAGAATGGGAGAAAATTTTTGCAATCTATCCATCTTACAAAGGGCTAATATCCAGAATCTATAAGGAACTTAAACAAATTTACAAGAAAAAAACAACCCCATCAAAAAGTGGGCAAAGGGTATGAACAAACACTTCTCAAAAGAAGACATTTATGTGGCCAACAAACTTATGAAAAAAAAGTCATCATCACTGGTCATTAGAGAAATGCAAATCAAAACCACAATGAGATACCATCTCATGCCAGTTAGAATGGCGATTATTAGAAAGTCAGGAAACAACAGGTGCTGGTGAGGCTGTGGAGAAATAGGAACGCTTTTACACTGTTGGTGGGAGTGTAAATTAGTTCAGCCATTGTGGAAGACAGTGTGGCAATTCCTCAAGGATCTAGAACCAGAAATACCATTTGACCCAGCAATCCCATGACTGAGTATATACCTAAATATATACCTAAATGATTATAAATCATTATCCTATAATGACACGTGCACATGTATGTTTGTTGCAGCACTATTTACAATAGCAAAGACTTGGAACCAACCCAAATGCCCATCAATGATAGACTGGATAAAGAAAATGTGCCACATATACACCATGGAATACTATGCAGCCATAAAAAAGAATGAGTTCATGTTCTTTGCAGAGACAGGGATGAAACTGGAAGCCATCATTCTCAGCAAACTAACACAGGAACAGAAAACCAAACACTTCATGTTCTCACCCATAAGTGGGAGTTGAACAATGAGAACACATGGACACAGGGAGGGGAACATCACACACTGGGGTCAGTCGGGAAGTGGGGGCCAAGGGGAGGGAGAGCGTTAGGAAAAATACCTAATGCATGTGGGGCTTAAAACCTAGATGACTGGTAGATAGGTGCAGCAAACCACCATGGCACATGTACACCTATGTAACAAACCTGCACGTTCTGTACATGTATCCCAGAACTTAAAGTAAAAGAAAAGAAAAATTGTGACTTCCCAGCATACAGAGGCCCTGGGTTAGGACCTTCACCCACCTGTCCCCCACCCACTGGTCTTTTGTAAGGTCAGCATTTGTAGGTGCAATGGCCTGGGTGTATTGTCCCTCTACCTCTTCCTCTTTGATTGAAGACAGGAATCACCCTGTATATTATGCATTAAAGATAACATTAAAGATAAATTAAGACATTTCTGGATCTTCATTTATGATAGAGAGACCACAGTGAGAAGAAATGTGAAAGATGTTTGCAAAGCCACTGTCAGACTGGGAGTAATGAAGAGATGAAGAAGAGGGCTGTGAGAAGTAGCCAGTCCTTGACAGAGGGAAGAGCCAATTTGAGAGTTGGAAAAGGAAAGTTTGGCCTGGCCCAAAGACCGTCCTATATGAACACAGAAGCCAGGTGTCCTGTTGGACTGAGCTCACGAACAGGATCTGAAGAGGGTCAGTGAAAGGACCTCCCTTCTCTAGCTGAAGGAACTGAGAGCAAGAACTGCCATCCCTGCTTAAGGAAAGGCTCTGGGAATGAGAAATCAGAGGAGATGTACTGTACCAGGAAGGGCTCGAACAGGGAAGCCATCAGCCCAGCTGAGCACGGCTGACCCTCCACTTGCAACCTGCACAAGGCAGAACGGAGTTCCTGCCCAGAGGAGCCTCGCACACCAGTGAAGGCCCACTAGGACAGGGGGTATTCTTCTTTGTAACCCCAGTCCCTGGAGGTACTAAGCATAGAGTAAGTTATTCAATGTGGCTGAACAAATAAAGCCTGTGCGGAATGCCGCTAATGCCTCAATATTTTCTCCAACATTTCCAGGGCATTCTTAATTTTGGGACTCATGGCCAATCAATGAACCCTGATTTTTGGTTCAGAAAATGTGCTTTCTCTAGACACTTGAAGAGTTGGGGAAAGTAATAACCATGAGGAGGAAGCATGGGATCTCTGGAGGTGACAGTCCTCCAAAAAAGGAGTCCTTGAACAGGGATCTCTTGCTCTTGTGTGTGTGTGCACTTGCATCCCCCAGGTCCTCTCTGAGGACCCGGTTAGGTTTCTTTTTTTTTTTTTGGTTGGTGACATCTGGCAGCATTTAGTCTCTCCTCGAAGCTAATGACCTGGTGTCACTAAATTGTCACCAGCTGTGTCTAACTTAAAAAATCTGTGATTAATATGAGAGCTGAATTTTGCTTATTAACAAAACATAGCTTATTAATCATTCACAAGTATGTGGTAATGCTTCCAAAGACGTGCCCTGGCAGCTAAGAATGTATGGGCTTCTACAAAGAGATCAACAATAGAATGGGAGAAGTTCTGCCGGACACGAAAGGAAAAGGGCACGGGAGAAAATAAACGTTTGCCTAACTCACTGTTCTTTTTAAACTGCCTTTTAATGCTTAGAAAATAGAAAGGATGGCACAATCCTTTGTGGAAAGGAGGCTGTTGATGTTAGAAGAAATTCAGACCCCTGACAGTGACGAGGGGAGAATAAAAAAGCTGTAGCATCAGGCGGGTAGTCCCAGTTTCCTCCCTCAGTTCGGTGCCAACAGCCCAAGGGTGCTTGTCTGGCAGGGTCTGTCCTTTTTCACATCTTTGGAGCTCATCAGTTTTTGGGTTCAGCTCTCTGGAGGTGGTGTCCGCTCTAAAATCTAGAATGTAGGCACCACCTGGGAACCCTTCTGCCAAAGGAGATACAAGCAGAGCTGGAGGTCAGCAAACCATGGTGCTCCCACCTGCTTCAATCTTACCCCAGGAAGTGACTATGGAGACCAAAGGCAGGGTCCCTGGTGGCCCTATAAGTTGAGCTGGGAGTGAACATCTGCTGGAATCCCTTGGTAGAAGTCTGCGGTTGCTGTACCAAGAGATTGTCTTTCCAGAAATGTGGTGTGCGGTTATGCAAGATTCGAGAGCTCAGCAGAGGAAAAGAGGCTCCTAGCTGGGAAGGAAGAAGTATCCCAGAGCTTTGAAACACACATTTACATGCATAGACACACACACACACACACACACACACACACCCCCATGTATTCATATCATGTGTGCGTATGCATGTACAGATGATCCCTCACTCACGATGGCTTGACTTAACAGTTTCTCGACTTTATGATGGCACAAAGACAATATGAATTTGTAGAAACCATACTTCAAGGAACCACACAACCATTCGATTTTCACTTTCGGTATGGTATTCAATAAATTACATAAGATGATTTTGCTCAACTGTAGGCTAATGTAAGAGTTCTGAGCATGTTTAAGGTAGGCGAGGCTAAGCTATGATGTTCAGGAGGTCAGGTGTATAAAGTGCATTTTTGACTCACAATATTTTCAACTTATGATGGGTTTATAGGAACAAAACCCCATTATCAACTGAGGAGCATCTGTTTGTGGAGAAATAATCACAATCATGGAACAACTCATCTGACCAAATTTTCTCATGTTTTATTTCTCAGATTACAGTAGAAACATGATTATTGTAGGAAAAAAAACCAGGAAATACAGAAAAGTATAAAGAAAAAAATAATCCCATCAGAGAAAGAAACATTTAACATTTTGCATCTGGCACTCTGGTCTTTGAACTTGGCAGATTTAGTGCTCTTTATTTTGTTTTTCAATATTGGAATCACACTCAATGCACTGTTTTATTTATGTTAACAATGCGCTGCTAACCTATTTTAAGTTAGGAAGATATCGTGGACATTTCCCCACGTTTCCACGATTTTTATTGTTGGTATAATATTCCATGTTAGAACGTGCCCAACCAGACACTTTAACTACAATTAAGATAAACCCATTTACTCAGAACCTTGGCTCACAGCATAAGTAAAAATAACTGAATCTCTAGTTGGGCCCTATAATGGTAAAATTCTCACCACATCAGGACGGTGTTTTACTGGAGAATGGGGCAAGCGCAGAACAGGGTTGCCTGCGTTCTGTCTCTCCTGTCAGTGTTTTTGGGAAGAGAGGCCATTTTCTCCTCTCCTCCTCTCCTGTGATTAGATTTGTTTCCTAATCTCTCTCTGTTCATTTGTGGTTTATTGTTTGCCAGAAATCCCCATGTCTATTGTTTTGTCATTCTGAAGCGGCTTCGTTGTCTGGCGTAAATACCCAGGGTTCATCACCTGGTGCCAAGAAAATTTAAGACAGGGACACAAAGGAGGAGTTTAGGAGTGCAGGTTTAATAGGCAGAAGGAAGAGAAAGGAGAACAGCTCTCTCTCTAGTGACAGAGAGGGGCTTCTGAAAGGGAAAGACTTGCTGGGGCGGAGTTTTCCAAATTTTTAGGCAGGTTTGAGGAGGCCATGTCTGATTTACCTAGGGCCCATAGATTGGTTCCATCAGGTGTGATGGTAACATAGCAGGGGAAGGCTGGCTGCCTCACCCTAATCTTATTATGCAAATGGGCTTTCCACTTGACTGGCGCCATCTTGTCTGCTCCTTACTGTACCGGTGGCTGGCAAAGAGAAAGGGAAGATGGGCCAAGTGCAGTGGCTCAGGCCTGTAATCCCAGCACTTTGGGAGGCCGAGGTGGGCGGATCACCTGAGGTCAGGAGTTTGAGACCAGCCTGACCAACATGGTGAAGCCCCATCTCTACTAAAAATACAAAATTAACTGGGCGTGGTGGTGCATTCCTGTAATCCCAGCTACTCAGGAGGCTGAGGCAGGAGAATCACTTGAATCTGGGAGGCGGAGGTTGCAGTGAGCCTACATCGCACCATTGCACTCCAGCCTGGACAACAGAGCGAGACTCCGTCTCAAACAACAACAAACAAACAAACAAAAAAAAAAGAAGAGAAGATGGAACCGCCATTTTGAACATGCCTAGTCCTGGGAAGTATTCCCCTGCTGGCATCTATGTCTTTGGCTTGATTTCACAGGCTGCTCTTTGTTAGAAAGGAAAAGCATTTGGGGCTGCTTTTCATTAAAAGGAAAACCTTACCGAGGACTTCTGTACCCTCACTATCTGCCTAAGTAATTTATTTTTAACTTATGTATCAATTCCTGAATGGTTCAGAGAATCTTGATAAAGAGGAGGAGGTAGGGTGACCCTCAGCACTTGGGAAAATACAGACACCTCATTCTGGAGTGCCTGAAATCAGCCTGCAGGAATTCCCTGTGTCTGAGAGGCAGCCCTCGCTCTTCCTGAGCTAGTGGTAGAGGAAAGCGGCTGAAACAGCGGGGTCCTGTAGTGGGAGCTTTAACTCACCCTCCTTCCTATCTGTTCCTACTTAAAACCATCTGGGCTGTGAGGAGGTTATTTTCTGGCCCTTCAACTTGTGTGACCACACACATTCTTTAAAGAGATGTTTACTAGCTTCGCAGGATTAAAAATAAACTCTTCTTAAAAAGTTCAAAAAACAAAACAAAACAAGAAACACACACCTCTCGGTTTTCTCTGTGTTCTCTCTTCTGACTCTCCATAAGAAAGGTATTTGTGGCCTCTCTGAACCATGACTCAGATTTTCACTTGAATTTTGACTTTTCTCTTTTCCTTACAACTTCCTGTTGCTGCTGTGAAATGCTGTTGCCTGAGAGGGCTTTTCTTTTTAACTCCAAGGTGATTTATGGGTCCCTGTCTCAATCCATGTCTCAGTAGAGATGAGGGGAAAAAGAGACAACCAAGACCTTCACAGCCTCCTCATTCTCCTGACCTTAGAGTCCAGCTCACACAGAGGCTGGCTAGGGACGGAAGTGCCACTTCTCTGTGAGGGCGGTCCCCATTCCTGACAGTGCCAACTGAGGATTGTACATATTTTAGGCAGCAAAGCACAGGATCTTTGTTTTTTAGAATTCCACTCTGATCTCTCTTCTTATTTTTTCCCTGTGCCAATGACCCAGGAATAAAGCTAGGGAAAGAGAAAATGTGATAATTCCAGCCTGGGGAAGGTGAAAGGACAGGATAGCAACAAATAACAGGTAATGATGAATAACAACGTACTGATAGTGTTTACAGTTTGCAGAGCATTTTCATATCCATTATATCATTAGCTCCTCACAGCTGCCTGCGGGGAAATGCACCACAGACATTCCGCTTATCCTGGTCTGCAGACTAGCAGCTGGAGGTTCTGTGATGGATGCTGTGAGGTGTCACCCAGACCCCTTGTCAGGGCAGAGAAACTCACTCCCCAGCTGTCCAGTGCTCACTGCCAAGAGCCACAATAGAGTCCCTCACTGGGAATTCCCTCTGCTGAAGGAAGCTGCCTCAGCCAAGGTTATCTCCCTCCCTGGGCCCTGCCTTGATTCCAGGCAACTCTACGGGGCCATCCCAGTTCCAGAACACCCTGTAGGATCAGCTGAGAACCTGTAGCAACTGCATCAGAGGTCAGCTTCTCTCTGCCCAATTCTCCTTTCCTCCCTTGCTCCCTCTAGGGGTTGCTCTTGAGAGCTCTCCCTGTTAAACTTCTTGCATGCAAGTCCCCATCTGAAAGTCTTCCAAGGAACCTCAGTGTATTGGCCCATTCAGGCTGCCATAACAAAGTACAACAGAACGGTGGCTTAAATGATATAAATTCATTTTCTGACAATTCTGGAGGCCAGAAGTCAGAGATCACACTGTCCTCTAGGACTCTCTTCTTGGGTTGTAAATGGCTGTTTTCTCTGTGTCTTCACATGGTCTTTGCTCTGTGCACATCTGTGTTCTTCAATCTTCCTATAAGGATACCAGTCATATTAGATTAGAACCCTCTCTAATAACCTCATTTGAAATTAATTACCTCTTTAAAGACCCCACATCCAGAACCAAGTTGGAAAACACACTGCAGGATATTATCCAGGAGAACTTCCCCAACCTAGCAAGGCAGGCCAACATTCAAATTCAGGAAATGCAGAGAATGCCACAAAGATAGTCCTCGAGAAGAGCAACTCCAAGACACATAATTTTTCAGATTCACTAAAGTTGAAATGAAGGAAAAAATATTAAGGGCAGCCAGAGAGAAAGGTCGGGTTACCCACAAAGGGAAGCCCATTAGACTAACAGAATATCTCGTCACAGAAACTCTACAAGCCAGAAGAGAGTGGGGGCCAATATTCAACATTTTTCAACCCAGAATTTCATATCCAGCCAAACTAAGTTTCATAAGTGAAGGAGAAATAAAATCCTTTACAGATAAGCAAATGCTGAGAGATTTTGTCACCACCAGGCCTGCCCTACAAGAGATCCTGAAGGAAGCACTAAACATGGAAAGGAACAACCAGTACCAGCCATTGCAAAAACATGCCAAAATGTAAAGACCATTGATGCTAGGAAGAAACCGCATCAACTAACAAGCAAAATAACCAGCTAACATCACAATGACAGGATCAAGTTCACACATAACAATATTAACCTTAAATGTAAATGGGCTAAATGGTCCAATTAAAAGACACAGACTGGCAAATTGGATAAAGAGTCAAGACCCATCAGTTTGCTGTATTCAGGAGACCCACCTCACATGCAGAGACACACACAGGCTCAAAATAAAGGGATGGAGGAAGATCTACCAGGCAAATGGAAAACAAAAAAAGGCAGGGGTTGCAATCCTAGTCTCTGATAAAAACAGACTTTAAACCAACAAAGATCAAAAGAGACAAACAAGGCCATTACATAATGGTAAAGGTATCAATTCAGCAAGAAAAGCTAACTATCCTAAATGTATATGCACCTAATACAGGAGCACCCAGATTCATAAAGCAAGTCTTTAGAGACTTACAAAGACACTTAGACTCCCACACAATAATAACAGGAGACTTTAACACCCCACTGTCAACATTAGACAGATCAATGAGACAGAAAGTTAACAAGGATATCCAGGAATTGAACTCAGCTCTGCACCAAGCGGACCTAATAGACATCTACAGAACTCTCCACCCCAAAGGAACAGAATATACAATCTTCTCAGCACCACACCAAAATTGACCACATAGTTGGAAGTAAAGCACTCCTCAGCAAATGTAAAAGAACAGACATTATAACAAACTGTCTCTCAGACCACAGTGCAATCAAACTAGAACTCAGGACTAAGAAACTCAATCAAAACTGCTCAACTACATGGAAACTGAACAACCTGCTCCTGAAAGACTACTGGGTATATAACAAAAGGAAGGCAGAAATAAAGATGTTATTTGAAACCAATGAGAACAAAGATACAACATACCAGAATCTCTGGGACACATTTAAAGCAGTGTGTAGAGGGAAGTGTATAGCACTAAATGCCCACAAGAGAAAGCAGGAAAAATCTAAAATTGACACCCTAACATCACAATTAAAAGAACTAGAGAAGCAAGAGCAAATACATTCAAAAGCTAGCAGAAGGCAAGAAATAACTAAGATCAGAGCAGAACTGAAGGAGATAGAGACACAAAAAACCCTCCAAAAAATCAATGAATCCAGGAGCTGGTTTTTTGAAAAGATCAACAAAATTGATAGACCACTAGAAAGACTAATGAAGAAAAGAGAGAAGAATGATGCAATAAAAAATGATAAAGGGGATATCACCACTGACCCCACAGAAATACAAACTACCATCAGAGAATACTATAAACACCTCTATGCAAATAAACTAGAAAACCTAGAAGAAATGGATAAATTCCTGGACACATACACTCTCCCAAGACTAAACCAGGAAGAAGTTGAATCCCTGAATATACCAATAGCAGGCTCTGAAATTGAGGCAATAATTAATAGCCTACCAACCAAAAAAAGTCAAGGACCAGACGATTCGCAGCTGAATTCTACCAGAGGTACAAGGAGGAGCTGGTACCATTCCTTCTGAAACTATTCCAATCAATAGAAAAAGAGGGAATCCTCCCTAACTCATTTTATGAGGCCAACATCATCCTGATACCAAAGCCTGGCAGAGACACAACCAAAAAAGAGAATTTTCGACCAATATCCCTGATGAACATCGATGCAAAAATCCTCAATAAAATACTGGCAAACCGAATCCAGCAGCACATCAAAAAGCTTATCCACCATGATCAAGTGGGCTTCATCCCTGGGATGCAAGGCTGGTTCAACATATGCAAATCAATAAATGTAATCCAGCATATAAACAGAACCAAAGACAAAAACCACATGATTATCTCAATAGATGCAGAAAAGGTCTTTGACAAAATTCAACAGCCCTTCATGCTAAAAAAACTCTCAATAAAATCAGTATTGATGGAACCTATCACAAAATAATAAGAGCTATTTATGACAAACCCATAGCCAATATCATACTGAATGGGCAAAAACTGGAAGCATTCCCTTTGAAAACTGGCACAAGACAGGGATGCCCTTTCTCACCACTCCTATTCAACACAGTGTTGGACGTTCTGGCCAGGGCAATCAGGCAAGAGAAAGAAATAAAGGGTATTCAATTAGGAAAAGAAGAAGTCAAAGTGTCCCTGTTTGGAGATGACATGATTGTATATTTAGAAAACCCCATTGTCTCAGCCCAAAATCTTAAGCTGATAAGCAACTTCAGCAAAGTCTCAGGATACAAAATCAATGTGCAAAAATCACAAGCATTCTTATACACTAATAACAGACAAACAGAGAGGCAAATCATTAATGAACTCCCATTCACAATAGCTTCAAAGAGAATAAAATACCTAGGAAACCAACTTACAGGGATGTGAAGGACCTCTTCAAGGAGAACTACAAACCACTGCTCAATGAAATAAAAGAGGACATAAACAAATGGAAGAACATACCATGCTCATGGATCGGAAGAATCAATATCGTGAAAATGGCCATGCTGCCCAAGGTAATTTATAGATTCAATGCCATCCCCATTAAGCTACCAATGATTTTCTTCACAGAATTGGAAAAAACTACTTTAAAGTTCATATGGAACCAAAAAAGAGCCCGCATTGCCAAGACAATCCTAAGTCAAAAGAACAAAGCTGGAGGCATCATGCTACCTGACTTCAAACTATACTACAAGGCTACAGTAACCAAAACAGCTTGGTACTTGTACCAAAACAGATATATAGACCAATGGAACAGAACAGAGCCCTCAGAAATAATACCACACATCTACAACCATCTGATCTTTGACAAACCTCAGAAAAACAAGAAATGGGGAAAGGATACCCTATTTAATAAATGGTCCTGGGAAAACTGGCTAGCCATAAGTAGAAAGCTGAAACTGGATCCCTTCCTTACTCCTTATACGAAAATTAATTCAAGATGAATTAGAGACTTAAATGTTAGACCTAAAACCAGAAAAACCCTAGAGGAAAACCTAGGCATTACCATTCAGGACATAGGCATGGGCAAGGACTTCATGTCTAAAACACCAAAAGGAATGGCAACAAAAGCCAAAATTGGTAAATGGGATCTAATTAAACTAAAGAACTTCTGCACAGCAAAAGAAACTACCATTAGAGTGAACAGGCAACCTACAGAATGGGAGAAAATTTTTGCAATCTACTCATCTGACAAAGGGCTAATATCCAGAACCTACAAAGAACTCAAACAAATTTACAAGAAAAAAACAAACAACCCCATCAAAAAGTGGGCTATGGGATATGAACAGACAGGATATGAACAGACAGTTCTCAGAAGAAGACATTTATGCAGCCAACAGACACATGAAAAAATGCTCATCATCACGCGCCATCAGAGAAATGCAAATCAAAACCACAATGAGATACCATCTCACACCAGATAGAATGGCAATCATTAAAAAGTCAGGAAACAACAGGTGCTGGAGAGGATGTGGAGAAATAGGAACACTTTTACACTCTTGGTGGGACTGTAAACTAGTTCAACCATTGTGGAAAATAGTGTGGTGATTCCTCAAGGCTCTAGAACTAGAAATACCATTTGACCCAGCCATCCCATTACTGGGTATATACCCAAAGGATTATAAATCATGCTGCTATAAAGACACATGCACACGTATGTTTATTGTGGCACTATTCACAATAGCAAAAACTTGGAATCAACTCAAATGTCCATCAATGACAGATTGGATTAAGAAAATGTGGCACATATACACCATGGAATACTATGCAGCCATAAAAAGGATGACTTCGTGTCCTTTGTAGGGACATGGATGCAGCTGGAAACCATCATTCTCAGCAAACTGTTGCAAGAACAGAAAACCAAACACTGCATGTTCTCACTCATAGGTGGAAAATGAACAACGAGATCACTTGGACACAGGAAGGGGAACATCACATACCATGGCCTGTTGTGGGGTGGGGAGAGGGGGGATGGGGGAGGGGGGAGGGATAGCATTAGGAGATATACCTAATGTAAATGACGAGTTAATGGGTGCAGCACACCAACATGGCACATGTATACACATGTAACAAACCTGCATGTTGTGCACATGTACCCTAGAACATAAAGTATACATAAAAAACAAGACTCCATTTCCAAATACGATTATGTTCTGAGGTACTGGGGGTTCAATGTATGAGTTTTGGGTGGCCACAATTTAGCCCATGATACCTACGTAACACCGAGTTGAAGAGATTGAGTGACATGCCCCAAATAAAGTAGTGTCCCCTTATTTAACACCTTATAAAATACCTTGCAGCCCTGTGGTTCTCCCTGATCTTCTGCCACTTATACCTTATGTAATGGAATGGGCAGGTATCACTGCCAGGAAATCAAGAATTAGGATCCAGAGTTTCTGTGCTCTGTTCGCTACTCCACGTGATCTACCACAATTGGGAATCTAACTCATTCTATTCTGCTAAATCATTGCCAGTGCTCACAAATGCACATTGTAGTGGACAGTTTAATAATATTTTTGTTAACTGATGTTATTAATGACCACAAAATGACAAAATTAACGACAAAAAAATAACCTGGAGTATACTCTTGGTGAAGCAATAACACAGGGTACAAAATAATACAGAATACACAGATCTGGGTCTCTGGGATGAAGACTAGATCCTAAAAATTGTAACTGATCAGAAAAATACAGAGCTGTATGGTCCCAAGTGGGAAATATTTCATACAATGGTGATCTGACAAGCTTCAAATCTTTTTTCGTGTGTTATGATGTGATGTTAAACACTAGATACACATTGCTGGATATTTGATTTTCCTTGTCTCCTGACAAATCCACATGGATGAAAAACTAGCTGGAGGAGATTGGGGAGAGAAAAGAATCTGATTTTAAATCGAAAGTGGTTTTGCCTGAAAACAGTATGCTGTAAACTTGACTTTAGATTCTCACTCCACTCCTTCCTATATTGTGTGCTATGCAAGTGCTTTTATTTCACTGTTCCTCATTTTTTTTCTCATCTATAAAGTGGAGATAATAATTTTTTATTGCAGAAGTATTGTGAAGATTAAACAGATTTATCTTTTAAATGTAAAGCACCCTGCACAGTGCTGGTGTATAGCAGGAACTCCACAAGTGTTAGTTTCTGGTTCATTAGAGAGAAAACCTCTCCTGCTAATCAATGCATTGCTACCACTGCCAGCAAAATGGGAGAAAGACCTTCAATGCCACCCCCAAATCTATCCCTTATGCATAAGGGAGGTGGATATTCTCTTTCAACTTCAGGATTGCTGGAGGAGGCCTCTACATCACTGCACTGAGCCCTGCAATAATCCTGCTAGCTGATCTTTCAGGGTCCCCAGGGCACCGGAAGTTCTCAAGGGTTAATGCATGCAATGGATAAGGAAGAGAATAAATCAAATAAGAGAAAGAGAGAGAGAGAGCGCGCACTACACAGATGGGTCTTTCTTTTTTCTTTTTAACTTTTATTTTCAGTTCAGAAGTATATGTGTAAGTTTGTTACATAGGTAAACTCGTGCCATGGGGGTTTGCTGTACACATTATTTCATCACCCAAGTACTAAGCCTAGTACTCAAAAGTTATTTCTTCTGATCCTCGCCTTCCTCCCACCCTCCACCCTCAAATAGGCCCCAATGTCTGTTGCTCCCCTCTTTGTGTCTGTGTGTGCTCATCATTTAGCTCCCACTTATAAGTGAGAACATGAGGTATTTGGTTTTCTGTTCCTGTGTTCATTTACAAAGGATAGTGGCCCCCAACTCCATTCATATTTCTGCAAAGCACATGATCTGGTTCTTTTTTAAGGCAGCATAGTATTCCATGGTATATATGTATCACAATTTCTTTATCTGATCTGCCACTGATGGGCATTTAGGTTGATTCCATGTCTTTGCTATTATGAATAGTGCTGCAATAAACATATGTGTGCAAGTGTCTTTATAGTAGAAGAATTTATATTCCTTTGGGTATATACCCAGTAACAGGATTGCTGGGTTGAATGGTAGTTTTGTTTTTAGCTCTTTAAGGAATTGCCATACTGCTTTCCACAATGATTGAACTAATTTACACTCCCACTAATAGTGTATAAGCGTTCCCTTTTCTCCACAACCACACCAGCATCTGTTATTTTTTGACTTTTTAATAGTAGCCATTCTGACTGGTGTGAGATGGTATCTCATTGTGGTTTTGATTTTCATTTCTCTAATGATCAGTGACATTGAGCTTTTTTCATACACTTGTTGGCCACATGTATGTCTTCTTTTGAAAAGTGTCTGTTCATGTCCTTTGCCCACTTTTTAATGGGGTTGTTTTTTTTTTCTTGTAAATTTAAATTCCTTATAGAAGCTGGATATTAGACCTTTGTCAGATGTATAGTTTGCAAATATTTTCTCTCATTCTATAGATCATTGTTTACTCTGTTGATAGTTTCCTTTGCTGTGCAGAAGCTCTTACATTTCATTAGATCTCAGTTGATAAACAACTTCAGCAAAGTTTCATGATACAAAATCAATGTACAAAAATCACTGGCATTTCTATACATCAACAACAGCCAAGCTGAGAGCCAAATCAGGAATGCAATTCCATTCACAATTGCCACAAAAAGAATAAAACACCTAGGAATACAGCTAAACAGGGAGGTGAAAGATCTCCACAATGAGAATTACAAAACACTGCCCAAAGGAATCAGAGATGACACAAACAAATGGAAAAACATTCCATACTCATGGATAGGAAGAATCAGTATCATTAAAATGGCTACACTGTCCAAAGCAATTTACAGATTTACTGCTATTCCTATCAAACTATCAATGATATTCTTCACAGAACAAGAAAGAAAAACGATTTTAAAATTTATATGGAATTAAAAAAGAGCCTACATAGCCAAGGTAATTGTATGCAAAAAGAGCAAAGCTGGAGGCATCACGTCAAACTATACTACAAGGCTACAGTAACCACAACTGCATGGTACTGGTACAAAAAGAGACACACAGACCAATGAAACAGAATAGAGAGCCCAGAAATTAGCCTGCACACCTATAACTATCTGATCTTCAACAAAACTGACAAAAACAAGCAATGGGGAAAGGACTCCTTATTCAATAAATGGAGCTGGGATAACTAGCTAGCCATATGTAGAAGATTGTATATACACCATATATAAAAATCAACTCAAGATGAATTAAAGACTTAAATGTAAAACCCAAAATTATAAAAACCCTGGAAGACAACCTAGGCAATACCATTCTGGACATAGCAACTGGCAAAAATTTCATGACAAAGACACCAAAAACAACAAAAACAAAAGCAAAAACTGACAAATGGGATCTAATTAAACCTTTTTTTTTTTCTGTTTATTCTGTTTTCAAATACTCATTATAGAACATTTCACCCAATTCAAAAAGATACATAGAAGAGGGTGAGAAGAGTTGACATTTTGGTGAACATCCTTCCATGTCTTTCTCTATGCTAAAATACATAAGTGTAAATGACCTTTAAAAAAGGGTTTTATACTATGTGCTGGTTTGAAAACTGAATTTTTTTTCACTCAATAACTCATCATGCCTGTTCATCATATCAATGAATATAGACAGACAGTCTTTAATAGCTGCAAAATACCCCATTGTATGTTTCAGAATTTATCCAATCCCATATTGCTGAATATTTAGGTACTTTCCACGTATTTGTTGTCAATTATAATACAATATTTTGTTAAACAACTTTATATATACATTTTCTCAAACTTGTCCAGTTGTCTTTAGGATAAATTCCTAGACTAGGATTGCTTGGTCAAAGGACACTGGCTCCATAAAAGTGATTAATAATTTACGTTCCCACCTCAAGTGTTAGGGAAATCCCAAATTCCAGCTGTCTCACTTCAAATCCATGGTGATAAAATGTACACTCAACACTGGAATCCTATTATACATCTCTACATGGTTTTCTTTCCTACTCTTTTAAGATAATTCTAAATCTTTTCATTATGCCTTAACCCTACTGCACCACTTTCCCCTCTTATATGCTCAGCTGATGTCCTGGTTTCATTCTTAAAAAAAAAAAAAGGCATGGAGCACACCACCATTATCTGTACACCTCTAAATCAACATACCCCTCCCACGCCCACATACACACACACTGGAACCCATTTTCTCTACCTTCCTCCTTCACCGTGGCAGAGTCCACATGGCTGGCACGGTTCGGCATCTTACTTGAACCACATTTACGCAACCACTCAAGGACTTCTTTCCTTCTCAGGAACTGACACATAAAATCAATACCAAAACTCAACAAAGATAGCCTAAAAAGAAAAAAGAGGTACAGATCAATGTCATATCACTCATCCATTCTTTCAATACCCATTTATTGAACACCTACTACATACCAGGCACTAAGGGAAGAGAATGGTGAATGAGATAAACTAGGTCTCTATCCTAGAAGAATTTATAATCCAGTGGTAGAAACAGATATAAACTCACCAAAAATGAGATAAGCAGATTGCTTGTGATGGATGCCAGGTAGAAAAGAGAGATTGACTGGATAGACAGCAATGGGGTGGATTCAGAGCCCTAGAAAGGAAGGTCAGGGAATGATGTTCTGAGAGGAGATACATGAAGAAGATAGCCATTTAAAAATTCTTCAGGGAAGAACTTTCCAGGCAAAAAAAACAAAAAGCAAGCCCAGAAATCACTCTGACGTTGGAGGCAAAGCCAAGCCCGGGGGCGGGGGGGGAGGGTGGAGAGCAGTGCAGGAAAAAGGCAGGAAGGGTATAGATCATGGGTGCAATTGAGAACATGTTAAAGAATTTCAAGCAACATGCTTGAAATTTCAGTTTTAAAAGATCTCTTGCGCTAACCTGTGGAAATCGAACTTTACAGAAACCCAAACAACTAGTTGGAGAATACTCTCACTTTTTATATATTAAATCACATAAATCCAATAATGCAATGACGGATTAAAAAAAAATCCACTTCATCTCAAAAAAACAAAACACAAAAAACAAAAAAACAGAACAAAACAAAACCACTCCAAAGGTATACATCATAGAGTGTAAAAATCCCACATTCAAAGCAGAGGTGAATTACTTGTCAGGATCCCTTAGTGCTGAAACTGCATATGGAGCCCCCTTTTTCCTTCCTTCGTTCCTTCGTTCCTTCGTTCCTTCCTTCCTTCCTTCCTTCTTTTTTTCTTTCTTTTCTTTCTTTCTCGTTCTTCTTTTTTTCTTTCTGTCTTCTTCCTTTCTTTTCTTTCTCTCTTTCTTTCTTCTTTGTTTCTTATTTTCTTTTAATATTTAGCTTTATTAAAGTTTTTTTTAAGGAAAAGAAAAAAACCAGATTTGTGCTTCTGAAAAAATTTTTGGCATAGATTCTAAACAAACACACTAAAGCCATATTCTTTAATCTTCTTAGATTCATAAATGAGCTATTTCCTTAGTTAAGTACAATTAGGAATGGCTTATTTTCTCAATTTTAAGTGAGTTTCTGAAACATATCACATGACACAGAGGATGAATGGAAATTAGAAATTGTTGCTGCTGTGATAGTTCATGAATTATGCCATCTTTAATTGTGTCTGAAATCTAAGACCACCACAAGGAATTAACATATAATTCAATCAGAGTTAAAAGGATATTACCCAAGTTAGCACTGTCAGTTTCCAGCATGCATATGGTGATAAATGAGGAAATCTTTTGTATATTTAAGATTGTCCTCTCAGAACATTTGGATATCCATGTAACACTGCCTTTAGGATAAAAATAAGATGGGGAGGGGGTCTGGAGTTGTTTGCAGATATTTTAACACACACTTGAACTAAATATGTAGAAAAATAAGTATTTTTTACACATGTATAAATTATTCCACTCCCAGAGTGTCATTGCTCTTAGGTAGCCACAGGAGATGGATCTTTTGCATGTAAACGCAGTTGGTTCCCTTGTATGAAAGGCTCTCTGGCTTTCTCTTTGTTTCCCCTTCAGACTTTATGGGGGCCACTGTGTGGACATCTTGAGTCATACATTAACTAGGCTAATTATTCCAGTGAACTAAGCCTGCTGGGCATTAAGGCTGTGGTTGGTGCTATTACTACTCTGAGATCAACGTTCTCTCCTATTTCACTACGTTCAAGGTCACTAAGGAAAGATTTTAAACCCAAAGCGGTGCCTCCAGAGCCCTGGGAATCCAGATAAGGCACTGCTTCTCCTAGTATCACCTACATCCTAGCAGCCTTTCATTACTGCAAGTTGTTTTGTGGAATTCTGTAAACCAGGCTAATTTCTCACAATGTTAATAAAACAGATATTTACCTAATGACATTTTTAGAGCAGAGGCGAAGGGACACAATTGGTATAGTAATTGTTGCAGGAGATCATAAGGTCAGATATTACATACCTTCCAGGCATTCCTGGAGCCTTTCGTTCCTCCTCCCGCATAACTCTTCCCAGCACAAAATTTCCCTTTCTCAGATGAGAAAGGAAAAGTACACACCCTCTTTGCTTCCTCCCCCACTTCTGCCTTTTCCCCACAGCTGTTCTTGTTGCATTTTCATTTCTCTATTCTGGTCCATTGATCCTAAAGGCTTTGGAGTCCTGCCCACCCAAATTGGGTATACTGTCTTCGTGGATTCAGAAGTTCCCTTTCTTCCTCCACTACCAGCTTCCAGCTATCACTACTTTTCTCACTTTCCTTTGTTGAAAACCAGCTTTACCATGTTCATGATCATTTCTGAGATGTCTTATTAAAAAAAATAGCCCTCCCCACGCTTCCTTTTTTTTTTTTTTTTTTTTTTTTTTAAGCCTGCATTCCAGCCGGCTAGGAGGAGAAAGGTCCCTGTTGAGTTGGGACTCGAGGTTTTATTCATTTTCCCTCCATTACAGGAAAACTGCTCCCTCAATCCTCACTGGTAGTAGAAATTCTGCTTAGTTTCTCAAGCCTGTATTTCACTCATCTCAAGTCTTCTCTAGCTTCTCTCCTCACTCCCTGAGAATGCTGTGTAAAGTTGTATGTGTCATACTTACCCAATTATTAAAGAAAAAGGACACCTAACTACCATCAATTGAATTCCCAATATAAATGTCCTTTCCTCCTTAAAAGTAACCTCAAATTCTCCCCTTAGGTTGAGTGATCCTGGGAGAAATGAAATATGTAACATTCTTAACTACTGGCAGCTACATGCAAACAACCACACACATTGTTCTTCAAATACTTTGGTGAGATGATTTCTATTCTTAAAAAAAGGCACTTCCAAGGATATAGTTATTAACATTTTGTCTTTCATGTCTTTCCATAGTTACAACATTTTCACTAAGATAAGCAGCTTTTCAATGAATTTGGTCCTTTCCTGAAGTAATTGTTCAAAATCTCTCTAATCACCACTCTAACTAGGTTTCCTTTGGGGACTGGGGCTAGCACTGCTCATCTCAGATTGTGAAAGTCTATCCTAAACCCACATAGCATTCTTATCCTATTGTGATGAAATCCACAGGGTTCAAAAGTTAATTCTTCCATGAGTGTGTACCAGGTGCTGGGGAAGGCCAGGAAGGAGAGGCTGAGTGGTACAGATGACTGAGCTCCTGAGGGTCTAGTTGAGCAAAGATATATTTAATACAAAACCAAAAATAACAGCATGAAGTCAATGGAATAATAGCATGAAGTGCTCAAGGGAACCCAGAAGAGAAAACAGTCCCATAATGGAAAGAGGAGAGTAACAGGAAGGGAGTTTCACAGCAGACAAGGAGAAGGGGCATTTTTGGCTGAGGAAACAGCCTTGAAATGTAGGCTGTACTTACAGACCATTTAGCAGTCTGGCGTGGCTAGGGGGTAAATTTGATAATTCCATGGGGAATGAGACAGACACAGAACCTCTACCCCAAATCCTACCATCTGGGGGCCTAGAATCCTTCTTTGTTTCATGTCAGTAAGGCCAAGAAAAGTACTTTTTTAAAGAAGAATTTTAAAAAATTTGCATGGCTAGTGAAATCTTTGGGATTGTAGGAAGAAATCACAATAATAGTTATAATAGTTGTAACTATTATTATTATTTTGTCAAACTCCAAGTGATTTAAGACATACATAGTATTTTATAGCTAAAGGAACTTTAAAGACCATTTCATCCAGCTTACTTATTTTACAGATGAGGAAATTGAGGCCCAGAGGAAAGTTCCTTGCTGCAAATCCACGGCTAGTTAGGAACAAAGCTGAGCTGGAGCACAAATCTCTTGCTTCCTAAGCCAGATCACTTGCCATGAAAATGTGTCAATCTGTGCACCCCCCACCACTGACTTGTCCTATTTCTCAGAGAAGAAAAAACAATGGTTAGAGTTTAAGAGGTTTGCCTGAAGTCACCCAGCTCCTGGTGGCTCAGAGGGGACTCAAACCCAGGACATCGGGGACACGTAGCCAACGCTCTCCTGTAAACATTCTTACTAAAACTAAACCCATTCACGAGGGATGAAGCGTGAGACAGAAGAGTGAGTGTGGTAATTAGAGCCCCCCCCAAACCACGTATCTCCAGTCATGACCTGGGTAAGAAATACAAGGGCTGAAAGGGGTCTGCTTTGCCTCAGCTGCCACCAGCCTAACCACGCACGGCTAAGCCTCAAGGAGTTCTCTTTCTTCACTAAGGGCTTAGCTGCAATGTGGTTTAAATTAGACATTTCTTGCCTGAGTAGAACAAATCACTTAGGTTATATGCTGACAAAAAAGGAACAGTCTGCATGCTTGGAAAGCTTAGGGGGAATTAAATTATGTGCTGTCACTTCAGAGTTGTTCCTCTGTCCTGTACACCACCACCTCTCAATTGCCTGCAGGAGCTGCAGAGCCTTGCGTGCAAGCTGTGCCATAACCCAAGGCTTAACATAAACTTCGGGCTCTCAGGTCATTGGGAAATAACAGGTATATCCGGTTGTGCCTTTTGTGCTTGTCTGCACGCAAATTAAAAGCTCCTGCTATGCTGAACTCCTTGGAGCCTCTGGTTACAGAGAAGGGAGGATGCCTTGGAATGGAATTTTCACACAATTGTCCTGTTTGTTTTTCCAGAGAATTGGGTGATAGTGTGTGTTCGGACGAAGTTCGCACCTCTGGGAGGCTGAGCTCAGAAGGGGCGGGATGTGGAGATGGCCATTTGCCAGGCGATCCTCTAGAGAGCAGGGCTCCAAAGGACCCCACGTCTGAACTTTGAAGGGATGGTAGTGCTTACGGGGGGGCGGCGGGGAGGGGCGGGGTTTGCGCAGATCTCAAACTTCCTGGCTAGTAGCAACAATGCCAAGTGCAGAGCTAGATGGGGAGGGGTGCAGGAAGGGATCTGAAAGCTTAGGGACCATGTACTGAGGCTGTCACCTCCCTAAGGGAGGCTCCCCACCTCCCTAAGTTTTGTGATGCCCCCGTTACAGTTCAGCCCTGAACCCTCCGGGTGGCTGACTGCAGTAGGAATGGAGTGTCCACTCCCTCTTCATGTATCTTTCCGTGGGACGCAATAGTATTCCCTTTGCTGTGACTACAGCCTCCCCCCGCAACTCCCCCGTTAAGTAGGAGAAATCTATGCCTACTGCACTCCAACTGTGAGATTTCCTCTGGCAGGAGTTTGCCTAGCTGGTGCAGCTGGGAAGCAGCAGAGAGTTTTTGCAGTCCAGTGGAACTGAATTCAAATTACGGTTCAACCAACATAGTGTGTGTGGCCTTGATTGATAACTCCAACTTTTCCTGCCTTGCTTTATTTGTCTGTAAAAAAGGGATTAGAGTAATAGTTACCTCAAAGGGTTGGCTGTGTGGGATTAATGAAATGATTTCTGTCAAGTGCTTGGCATATTGCCTGGCTCAAAATGCTCCATATATGGCAGTTCTTACATATATGACAGTACATTATTATTGTTACCATCGGTTTAGTTGGCAGAGCTGCCATCCAAAAATTTCAGACTGTGGTTCAATCATGGGCTTCGATTTCTGGCTGTGGCTCAGACACCCTCTTGGCTCCACACCTGAGCAGGATTCACATGCCTCTTCCACTGAGCTGGGCTCTCCCAGCTTCCTGACTCAGGCACCACCTGGTCTCCCGGCCGCAGGGTTTTGGGCATCATGCTGTCTGCCTCTTCTTCCTCCTCCTTCCTGGGGCTAAGGTACGTCATTTGCGCAGGTGGCTGTCTTGGGAAGATGACATTTTTCTAGCCAGACACCTGGTGGTGGCGGCTCTGCAATAGCTTAGAGG